ATAAAACACATGGCCTTTAGGTTATATTTTGACTACTCAAAGGCTTTTCTTTTGGCTTCTGAACTGTGGTCTGGAGAGTGGAGGTGGCTAGATCGAATGTCCTCCAGAAAAGACCTCTGTTTTCATGGTAATTATGCTAGGAACACTCAAGTATTATTTGATTATTTACAAGACATCTGTTTTGGAATGCTAGAGATACTTGAAATAGGAAGGTCGAGATGGTTTTGACTTAAGAATGTTTGTGCATTCTTGATTCAGTGTCTGCCCTTGAGAAATGCAGTATAGCCTTGCTGTCTGTATTTGCCAATTATAGAAAGGTAGAGCTTTTTTCTTCTCCCTTTTCCCTTTTTCTTGTCTTTCATTTTTGTTTGCTTCTCTTCCCTCCCATGTCTCTTTCCTTTCTTTTCCCTTCCTGGGTGTCAGAGGCTGGCCCCCTGAGCAGTGGCATGGAGGGAGCTTTCCATTGTCATGTTGGTGGTGGTGTGGACCTGAGGGCTTAGGGGAGCTGAGGTTCAGAAACGTGGAGGGGTGAGCCCAGAAATGGCTGGGCTGGTTACTTCATAATGGGTTGGTTTACCATCCTCTTTAGAGCGCGATGCAATAAGAAAATACCAACTGTAAATAGTATGCAGTTGTTTGTTAAAAAACAAGCATCTGATTCACAAGTCCAAATGTTAATTGATGTAAAAATGAACTGTCTGGTCACTATCGTTCTGATCCGTGAAAAGGAGATTTAATCTGGTGCTGTGGTCACCTGAATGTAGAATTGGTAGCTACCTAAAACTAGAGTAGAATTTTAAACCCCACCCAGCAATCAGCTGCTATCAGGAATGTCTTTCTGCATCTCAGAGGAAGGAGAGTTGTGACTGTGAACGTTTGAGTTATTCTACTGGGCCGTGTAGGAATATTTAAACTTTTGGCTAATGCACATAGAACTTCAAGGAAGAAATCCGTAAACAGAAAGGTCATATATAGGACGAACCTGTTAGGAGTTCAAGGTTAGAGGATAAAGAGGATATCAGAACTGTGTAAAGTGTAATGGAGAGAGAAAGCATAGTTTCTTTTAGTGTTTGCTTATTTAGGTGGATAAAATTTGTCCTGCTTGACACCATTTTTAGTTTGTTGAGTCATGTAGGTATTGATGAAAAGAGTCAAACTCTAAAATATTTAAAGAGATTTATTCTATGCCAAATTTGAGTGAGCGTGGCCCATAACACAGCCCTCCTTGGGAGATCCTGAGAACATACGCCCAAGATGATTGGGACATTTTAGGCAGACATGAGACTTCAGCCTAGGAAGGTGGAACAGCTCGAAGCAGGGAAGCTTCCAGGTTATAGGTAGATTTAAATTTTTTCTAATTGGCAGTTGGTTAAAAGAGTTATCAATAGAAAGGAATGTGTGGGTTACTATAAGAGGTGGTGAAGGCCAAAGTTTTATCACACAGATGAAACCTCCAGGTACCCGACTTCAGAGACAATGGATTGTAAACGTTTGTAAACGTTTCTTATCAGACTTAAGGTCTGTGTGGATGTTAATGCTGGAGAGGTATAATGAGGCATGTTCGACCCCCACTTCCCATCATGGCCTGAACCAATCTTTCAGGTTAAATTTTAGAATACCCTGGCTTAGGAGGAAGTCCATTCTGATGGTTGGGGGGCCTTAGAATTTTATTTTTGGTTTACATAGGTGTATCAGTTACTGTTGCCATGTAATAAACTACCTCTCGGAAATTTAAGGCTTACACCAATAGCCATTTATTTGCTCATGATTCTCTGGGATAGCAAGTTAGCCTGAATTTATCTTTGTATGTTTTCTTCTAATCTCACCTGGAATCACTCATGTGGCTTTAGGCATCTGGTGTCCTTACTGGGACTGGATGGTTTAAGATGGCCTCACTCATGTCTAATAGTTAGCAGTCTGTAGGTCAGGATACCTTAGCTCTCCACGGGACCTCTCTGACAGGCTAGCTGAAGCTCATTCACACTATGGCTTCCAGCCACAATCATAAAAAAGGAGACACATCCTAATACACAAATGTTTCTCAGGCCTCTACTTGTGTCTCATTTGCTAACGTCCCTTTGGTTAAATCAAGTCACGGGGACAAATTCAAATTCAAGGAGTGGAGAAATAAACTATCTTTAAAGTAACAAAGTCACATTTCAAATGGGAAGTGCATGCAGGGATGGAAAGCATTGTTCTGGCTGTTTTTACAGTCTACCAGAGTCAAACGACATTTAGGGATTTGTTCAATGGTAATGTTACCGGAAAGGAGTCCCAATCCAGACCACAAGAGAGGGTTCTTGGATCTCATGCAGGAAAGAATTTGGGGTGAGTTCATACAGTAAAGTGAAAGCAAGTTTATTTAAAAAGTAAAGGAATAAAGAATGGCTACTCCATATGCAGACCCATTTCTATGGTTATTTCTTGATTATATGCGCAACAAGGGGCGGATTATTCATGCCTCCCCTTTTCAGATCATATAGGGTACCTTCCTGACGTTGCCATGGCATTTGCAAACTGTCATGGCACTGGTGGGGAGTGTAGCACTGAGGACGGCCAGAGGTCGTTCTCATCACCATCTTGGTTTTGGTGGGTTTGAGCTGATTTCTTGAGTGCAACCTGTTTTATCAGCGTCGTCTTTATGACCTGTATCTCATGCTGACCTCCTCCCTCACCCTGTGACTTAGAATGCATAGTCATCTGGGAATGCAGCTCAGTAGGTCCCAGCCTTATTTTACCCAGCCCCTATTCAAGATGGGGTTGCTCTGGTTCAAACACCTCTGACAGTAACACATGGCATACAGGCTGATTAAAATACTAAGCACTGAGTATATTTGGTGTCATATTTCAATGCAGGAGTAATTATATGTGTTTCAGTGGCTTGTACCCTCCAATTAGTGATGAACATACCCCATGTGATTCGGTCATTTAGTTAACAAATATTTATTTTACATCCTGGTGGACCAGACACTGTTCTAGGTGATGGAGATGCAGCTGGGGGAAAACAAACACACGTAATTCAGTATGTATAACAGTCACATGGAACAAAGAGAAACTTACAACTTATTACTATGGTTTTTGATTTTGAATTGAGGCAAGAGAGTTTGTTCTCTATGCAAGAATGCCACAGAGGAAGATTTTCATCAAGAATTTAGCCACTGTGAAGTTTGGTTTTAAAGAGCAACTCAGTAAGTGGTTTCTCTGCTAATAGCAAATGAATGTATTTTAGAAACTATTATATTCAAGAAATTACCTAAAAAGGGAGGATTCAAACAGTACTTTTCTACTTAAAGAAGGCTGATTTTTTAACCAACAGATGTTCAAGAAATAACCAGTGGCTATATTTTCATATTTACCAAGGCTACTAATTCTAATGGATTAGCTAGAAGCTATTCAGACAAGTATTCAGTGTCAGGCACGTCCCTTCTGATGTTTGCTTGTGACATTGTCCTTGGGAGACATCTCCCATCTCCCAAGTGGGTTGCAGTGTGAGGACAACCAGAAAACCTTGAAAAAGTCTTGTCATTGTTTGTCAGGCCAGATTAATTGGGTCCTGGTGATAGAATGTTAGAAATAAATGTGAAAAATTACATGGGAACTGAGAGTCTCCTTTTACAACAGCAAGTTTGTCCACCCTTGACAAGATTATATTCTTACAGGATGAAAGTGTGTTTATATATATATATAACCTGTTCAGCTTTCCTAGATAGGAGAAAGTCCTTCATAATTAATATCATTGTGACCCCTGTTTAAAAAAAAAAAAAAGTCAGCATTTCTGACTTTTTTCTACATTCCTTCATTTTCTATTCTGTTTAATTTTCTAGAAAAATCTGGCAGTCTGTTTGAATCCCAGTGGTGGTAATGCTGGAAAAACTTATTGCTCTAAAAATGCAACCTTTTGTGGGATGACATTGGAAAGGTGGGAAGTTGGAGGTCTTTTTTCCCCTTGTTTCTTTCTTTCCTTTATGAACCTTTTTCTTTTTAAAAGTTTTATCGCTCATCACTTTATCACTTAGTTTATCACTTTACCACTTTTGTTGGCATCTTTTTCTCCCCCTTCTGTCTTTATGATGTTGAAACTGAAGGGAAAAATGGAGCTGCCAAGATAATTTACAGTTAAGTGACTTTTGCTTGTGGCATTGTCCTTGGCATTGCACAAAAGGAACTAAACCAGCACCACTGATGCTGCCAGGAATTTAGGGTCGAAGTAGAAAGGAAGAGAAACTGTGTTCTGGTTTAAAGTTCAGTGAGAGAAAGTTAGTGCATGCTAAAATATAGCATTGATCCCTTAGAAAGTACATTTAAATTTTACATTAAATGTAAATTTGACATTAAATTTAAATGTTGATGTTAAATGTATTTTCTGGAAAGTACATTTAAATTTGACACTAAAATTCTGATATTATATTATATTAGATATAATGAGATTATGTGGTTTGAATGTCCCAGAGATACTTGTAGCTCTGATACTGAATTGAATGTGATCTGAGCCCATTGTGGAAAGATTGACAGACTTGCAGAGGGCCAGTGCCAAAGGGAAGGCCCTATGAGGTGTGGGTAGGGAGGAAGAGAACCCTGGGTTACTGTTGACTGAAAAGGTGGAAAAAGATGAGAGAAGAAGGGAACTATCACTCTATCCAGAATCAGGGAGAGCATGGCTCTTCCTTACAGTTAGCAGTAGTTGGTAACAAAATCTGTGGGAAATATGACAGGGCTTTGGAGAACTCTTACCTAGAACCATAAATTAGTTCAGAGATATATTTTGAAAGGATTTTAAATATATAAATGTATAAATGCTTTCCATTTATCAGCAAAATGAGTAGACATTATTGACCATCTGTCTTCAGAGGTGCAAAGTGTTCTTAAAATGTATACAATGAATGGTGAAGCAGAACTAGTGTTGATTTTAAAAGGTCAAAACCATACGACACTAAAGCTTAAGATGTTAAAATACATTTTGTGTACTAACTAATGGGCATGTTTTGTTCTTTCTTTTGCAGACATACATTGGAAGTGTGGTTATATCTGTTAACCCATACCGGTCTTTGCCCATTTATTCACCAGAGAAAGTGGAGGAGTACAGGAACAGAAATTTTTATGAACTGAGCCCTCACATGTAAGTACTGCAGTAAAGCGTTAAGTGTCTCTTTTACTCCAGAGATGTGTAGTTGACAGGTGTGTGCAGCTGTCTCTTTTGAGTTTCAGAAAATGTTTTTGTCAGTTTTTTTTTTTAAAGTTCGATAAAAGTATGAAGACTTTAATTGTTATTCTTTGTTTTAAATTTTAAAAAGGCAGAATACTTCATTTGACGTCAGACACTTCTGAAATATTTGGATTCAGGATGTAAAATATTTTCTGTTCAAAATTCTGTGCAAGTAGCAGCTGCTGCTAATTATTTTTGCAAATAAAACAGGAATGTGCATTGTTTATTATTATAAAGAGCCTAAGCAGCGTTTTCATAGTCTTGTTGGGCCAAGAAAAATCCCAAGTGTTGGGTTGTGTGATGGTGTTTGGGTAAAAGGACCAAACAATACCTTCAGTTTATAATTTTTGCGGACATTGTTCACCAGATGCGTGGGATAGACCAGTGATTTCACTTACTCTGGAAAGTCACTTGTTTGATTTTTCTGAAGAAGGTCACTTGTTAGCGTAAATAATTCCTTCACAGTACCTGTAGATTCTGTTTGTCTGCTCCTTCAGAGTTCTTCGTTGGCGTGCTTAAGAGATGCCGAAATGATTCAGCCACTTCTTACCACTAGAATTTTGTTTTCTGGTCTGAATGACTGAAACATAACACTGGAAAAGTTTTCCTAGATTTGGTAGATCAGTGGTAGAACCGGGTTATTCAACCCTAGAACGAACTTTTATTCCTCTGAATAAAAATATCTGAAAAAGAAAGTTGGAGGGAGAATGCCCATAAGTTATCGCAAACAATACCTTAAACTTTTTATTTCTCAAGTTATGTTACATTTACTGATTCAAGACGGATACGTTCACTATTTACATTCTCATGCCCACTACTGAGTTTAAAGAAGAGGAAAGAGAAATATGCTGAGTTGGGCCAAGTTGTGTAATGAGTTGAGAACCTCAGACTTCTCCGCTTGTTGCTTAGGCAGAAACATTTCCTGCCTCCTCTCTTGTGGGCATGCAAGCATTTTACCAGAATTCATGTACTTATGATTGTCAGTTGCTACAAGTGGCCCATGGTGTCTTGCAGATGGGAGTTGGTTGATGCAGCATAACACCTTTTATGCAATAAACTGTTGAATGCAGATTTAGAATATTTGTGAACTGCTGCTGAACGTGGGCTGGGACTAATGTATGCAGAAGTGCCTTGGAGGGTGTCAAGCATTCTACAAAGCTATGTCATTTATTATTACCACCATTGCTATTACTTTTTCGCAGTAGCGTCGTTCTCTTTCTCTCAAAACAGTTGATACGCTGAAAACAACCCCAAATTGTCATGAAATGCACATCAATACATGTGCATGTAGATATTGATGAGGAAATGTTCAGAAAATGTCTTGGCCGTGGAAAAGATTAATTGGTCATTGGCATGTTGGTAGCGGGGCATTTGAAAATGGTTAAGCTGCCAACTTGGGTCGCTTCTAGAGTTGAGACATTTTCAGTCTTTTTACTGAAAGCAGTAGTACTCAAAATGGGGCAGTTTTATCCCCCAGGGGACAGTTGACAATGTCTGGAGACATTTTCAGTTGTGAAACTATGGGTGGGAGGGTGCTTGCTGCTAGTGGGTCAGGGATGCTGCTAAGCATCTTTCAAAGCATATGCAGCCCTTCACAGTAAAGCATTATCTGTTAACTGCATCCACAGTGCCAAGGTTGAGAAACGCTGAATTGAAATGAAAGAACCTGCAGAAAGTCTTCATTATGTCCTAGCAGAAAGGATTTTCTCAGTATGATTAAAGATTGGCTTTATTAATTTTGATAGAACATAAAATCTAATAATTAAGGAACATATATATACCAGTGTCCAGTTGCTTATTTTAGTTTCTCTTGATAATGCAGCATGCAGTGATATATTTGGACTGTTTGGAACTAAAGATTATTTATTATTTAAATGCATGAAAATGGTTATTAATGAATAAATCTGCTGGTATATTTTATCAGTCAAGCAAATTCTGATCATTTCGTTTTCTTCTAGAAGTAGATATTGCAAGTGATCTTGTTTCATTTTGCCTTAAGACAAATAATATCTGAAATTTGTTTTATAAAGTTATCCTGATAGTTAAACCCCTGTGATGAAATACTTTATTTGATACCTGAATATTTTAAATTCTAGTCCTTGAAGCCCCACTTCTCAAAGTATGGTGCTTGGACCAATTGTATCGGAATCTCCACAGGGGCTTTTGAAAAAATTTGGATTCCTAGGTCTTACTTCTCATAAGCCAGGAATCTACATTTTTCATAAGCTTTCTGGGTGATTCTTAGGCGCATGTAAGTCTGAGAACGTGTTGCTTTAGATCTATATTTGAGGTGTTTTTCTTTTCTCTCCTGCAATTTATGATCTTTAACAATAATACTAATAAAAATATTTATGGCTAATATTTATTAAGTACTTACTATGTGCAGGTACTGCTCTAAATACTTTATATGTTTTATAACTCATTTCATTCTCAAAATAATCTTGTGAGGTAGGCACTATTACAAAGGGGGAAATTGTCACAGAAAGATCAGGTAACTTCTCCAAAGCCACACAGCTGGTGGGAGTGGAGCTGGGGTATTAACATCAGTTGCTCCTCTTAGCTGGAAATGGGCTTGCCATTTTCTTGACAGGGCCTCTTCCTGTGCACTTCCACCCTGCTACCCTTGGTTCGCCCGTGTTCCTGCACCACAAACCCTCCAGGATAAGCTTGACTGTGCCTCAGTTTACCTCCAGCAATTGTCCACATGCTCTTTTTGCATTTTCAGCTTAAATCTCCACTCTAGGAATGTTTAGATATAATGTTTGGGTAGATAGAGAATGTTTAGAAGTCTATTCTAGATCATAGAAGTTCATGGTCCAGAATATACATTTTTATCCCAGCACCTGGAAGATTCCTATAGGAGGCAGCATGGCACTGCTACTCTAATTCACACCCCTCAATCCCAAGGAAAAGAACCACCACCAGCACTAAAATAAAATACATTCTTAATGTGCTCAGGATAAAGAAAAAGACTTTTTACCATGGCCTATAAAGCACTATGTGGTGAGCAAGGTACAGTTTTACTAAAGCATCTGAAGTTGCCAGATCCCTCTCATTCCCTCCCTCCCATCTTGCTTGTTCTCTCAGTCCTCACCACATTCCCTCCTATGAGAGCATCCTTGCATAGAATTCTGTGCCTCTTCCTGGAATGCTTTTCCCTCCTTCTCCAAAGCAACTCATGTTCTTCCTTCAAACGTCAAATTGCAGAAGACCTCTTCAGGGAGGAACCTTCCTCACTTGCTCCCTGCTGAGGCTAGATCTGTTGCTTTTGCCACATTTACTATTTCATGTTTGTTTAAGGGATGATTTGTATAAGAATTTAATAAGGGTTCAGTAAAAACATATTGAACAGGACTTGGGTTCAAGTCCCAGGTCTTCCATTTACAAGCTGTATAATCTCGAGCAAATTACTTGAAAAAACTTCAACTCAGAGAAATTAAGTAATTAGTTTATTCAGTGGGAAAAGAATTATTAATTAACTCCTGGGATTTTTGTGAGGGCCAAATATGTAGTTGATATTTAGATAATATAATGATCTAATATGTATAAAGTGCTTAGCATGGAATCTGCATAATTCTGTGGGAAAGCAGAGCTGCTTCTATTAACAATGAGAATTATAGCAATTGTTGTAATAATAATGTATGTGGGACACATTTCCAACATTCTCACGTGCTCTGTCTCACCACTTTCTGCATGGTGGGACATTTTCCACTTCCTTTAATGTATTTTCCTGCATTTTTCTTTGCAAATGTTCATCTTTGACAGTATTTTAAAACAGGGTGAATGCTAACTTGGTTCCCTAATTTATGTTTTTAGTAGAGACAGGGTTTCAGGGTTTTGCCGTATTGGCCAGGCTGGCCTCTTGGCCAGGCTGGTCTCAAACTCCTAATCCTAATGTGCTGGGATTACAGGCGTGAGCCACTGTGTTCAGCTTTTTTTTTTTTTTTTTTTTTTGAGACAGAGTCTCACTCTGTTACCCAGGCTGGAGTGCAGTAGCACGATATCAGCTCACTGCAAGCTCCGCCTCCTGGGTTCACATCATTCTCCTGCCTCAGCCTCCGGAGTAGCTGGGACTACAGGCGCCCGCCACCACACCCGGCTAGTTTTTTGTATTTTTTTAGTAGAGACGGGGTTTCACCATGTTAGCCAGGATGGTCTCGATCTCCTGACCTTGTGATCTGCCTGCCTTGGCCTCCCAAAGTGCTGGGATTACAGGCATGAGCCACCGTGCCCGGCCCTTTTTTTTTTTTTTTTTTTTTTTTTTTTTTTTAAAGAGATGAGGTCTTTCTATGTTGTCCAGGCTGGTTTCAACTTCTGCGCTCAAGAGATCCTCCTGCCTCCTGAGTAGGTGGGACCATAGGCACAGGCCACTGTACCTGGCTTACATTTGGAATTTAATTTGAGCTGTGTTCACTGTTAGTCTGCAAAAGCACCCAGATAATTTTGTAATTCATATTTTTGAAGGTGTCTACAATTTATCTTTCTTTAAATTTTAGATAATTAAAAAATAATTCCATTTTGTGTAAATCTATGACTTTCAGATCATGGAAATGTATAGACTGGTTTCTTACCTATTTTCCTTTCAAAAATAGCTTTCTGTTATCATTTGTGGGTCTGTTAGTCCCCCAGACATGTAACTTCTCAGCTGGACTCCTCCTCTGCAGCTCCTTTCCTTCTCTGAACTCCTGTCCCCATTAGGTGGTAAGCCACATCTTTGAGCAGGTTATTGTTGGGTGGCATCCCCAAGGAAATGTGGCCATGCTGCGTGGCAGAGTCTGTACCACCATTTGCTTTTCTAGTTAGGTAAGTGATGTCTCTCCAGTATGATTTTTAACTTCTTTGAAAATAAGGAATGTAAAAAATGTATTCCAGGGAGGACTTAGTACATTTCAGAAAACTCAGTAACTGGATTC